GCACACGGTTTTCCTCCCAAATGAGGCAGCTTCAGAGTTCAACTCTAATTCTGAGCTAATCAACACTGAGAACAGCATTTCAGAACATCCCAGTGAGGAGGTTAAATCACTTCATCCTTAACTGAACATCTGATTCTCAAATCCAGATCCTTAGCTGTCTCCTTTAAAATCCGCGTGTCATTCGTCCACAGGAGGGAAGTAGGGTGGAGGGTGATCATACTCAAGCCTCTTTCCATTTTACAGTTACAGACATAAATCTTGTAACTAAACAGCTCTAGAGAATACGAGAACCAGTCATGGCCAAATCCTCTATTTTTTGGCAACAATTGCTCCATCTGTTTTGAGGGTCGGGTCGACGAACACATCAATTCCATTCTAAATCAGAATGATGGGTTTCCTAGCAGCGTAGGGGGCTTCCAGCACTGGTCCAGGAGAATTCCAGGCTGGGCAGGACCCAGAGGCCTCTCCCACTTAACTCGTCTCTTCAGGTGTCATCCCTAGTCAGATGAGATCAAGTTTAAGTGAATCTCCCTAACGGGGACGAGGAGAACAAGATCCCACAAAACCTAGGTCGAGGGGGGTTTGTGGTCCCAAGGAGGAGCAGCTTCCTGTTGGGGGTGGGAGTACTGAGAGCGACCTTTCCTCCCTGCCCTTGTCCCCAGCCCCCACACTTACATACACTCACCCTAGTCTTGGAGATAAAGGAGGGCCAAAACGATATGCCCAGGAACAACAGCAGCTTCCCTGTGTTAGGCTTACTGTGCTGGCTCCATATCCTTCTCTTAAGCGAGAATCCTGCTTCACAGAAGGAGAGCCATGTCGCAGGGACTCAAGGCACCTGCCCTAGTCAGGTGAGAGCAGGTGGAACAGACAGCGTCTGACCCTGTGTGGCTGCAAAGCCCACAGTCTACACCACTGTTCCCCAAGGCCCGCCTGTGAGAGAATAAAAGGGGTGACATTTCCCTTAGGTATACACTTGTGCCGTTTTAATTTGGAGATTACGTTCTTAGTTTTTTGGTGCTAAACTGTCTTTTCTCAAAATTATAGTGATTGTAGATAGTTCTCTCCTCCCCCCTCCCCTCCCCCT